GTGAGCGGGGTACTTCTTTGTCATATAAACCCCCAGCTGGACAAACGGCTACAAGTGTAAGTCGCTTAGATAAAAGTTGGCCGACATTAAACTTGGGTAGCACAGCCTAGCTGTGTCAGCATGCGTGGGCTGCAAAGGAACAGGTAAGGGTCATTCCGTGCTGAAAGGAAAAGACCAGAAACACATTTCTGCTGTGGAGCTTTCTTCAGCCTTCATCACACCTGCAGACAGCTTCACAGCCGAAACGCTGTGTTTTTTCTTTTCAGCATGGAACGAATCTTTACCTGTTCCTGTGACATTAAACTTGTTAATGAAGTGGTGACTCACCATCCAAAGTACATAAACCGTCATACTTGAAAGATAGTTTCTGTGGAATGGAAGAAGTTCTTCAATGAGCCCAGCAGTCCTGAAATCCCTTGATTCTCATGTCCATAGGCCTGCAGTCAGGCCATTCAGGTGCAAACCTGGCGAGACCGTGCATGTGGATTTTTAAAAATTTAAGTGAAGTAAGAATATGGAGAACAATATTTGCACAGGAGGAAAAGATGGAGGAAGTTGCCCTGTGTTGTGTTAAATCAAATGGGGAAGCTGGGTACCAGAGGTACCAACAACAGCCACAAGGGGGCACACTCCTACCACTCTTACATCACCACCACCGTGGCACCGAGCTCTGGGATGCATGGAATTGGATGTTTTTTCCCTTTTTTCCCGTTTGACTGCACTTTACTCTACTCAGAGCACGGTATACAATAGCAAACGTACAGTATATGCAAACATACACGTCAGGATGCACTTCTTCAGGTCTTGCTGTGAGAGAACAGCACTGAAAAGGGACATCTGTTTGTCTTTACTGTGTTCCAGGGATCGCTGGTGTCCAGGGAAGCAAGTGACAAAGAGAAGGTAACACTGGCTGAGGAGCTGGCGGTTCGTTTCGGGCGAGCCTGTCCTTCTGAACGGGGTACCGATCAGGGTAGCGCCGCATTCAGACAGGAGCCCTCATCTCTCCTGTCTGCACCATGCCTGTTATTCACTAGAAAAGCAGGAAGCATGAAGGAGCATGAAATAGGCTTGAGGAGCAGAACTGCGGCATGTCTTGCCCTTGGCTAGTCAAGGACGCGTACAGAGTGCCTATTCCTGCAGCTGTACGTACTGCCTGTGTCTCTCTGCGCCCCCAGGTGAAGGAGCTGCCCACCTTCAAGGACATGGACTTCAGGAACAACATGCAGAAGGTGTACGTGAGCGAGGAGCAGCAGGAGAGGTTCATGGAGAAGCTCAACAGAGACGTGGAGGTGAGGCAGGGAGCCATCTCTCTCTCTCTCGCTTGCTCCTCCCTCACTGGGCAGCCGCTCCTCTCTCCTCTGGCGGCCAGCGATGAAGCGCTCTTTCTCGTTCCGCATGGTGTGTCCAGTTCCTGGTGCAGCTGAAGATCATGGACTACAGCCTCCTGCTGGGGATCCATGACGTTTCGCGGGCGGAGCAGGAGGAGGAAGAGGAGGAGCCCTGTCACAAGGAGGAGGCGGAGTCAGAGAACGGATTGGCCATCACGGGTTCCTATGGCAACTCCCCCGAGGGAATTGCTGGCTACTTGAACACCCACAAGCCACTGGGGCCAGGAGAGTTCGACCCCTATGTCGATGTGTATGCAGTCAAGAGCGCCCCTGGTGAGTGAGACCGATAGAGGGACATGTGTCTCGAACCACATGAGACTTCCCAGGTACCAGACCTAAACTGGCTTCCACAGGAGTATCTCTTAAGTCATACCCAAGTCAAAACCATTCAGTGAAGTTTCCAAATTCTAGGAGGCTCCTGGGAAACACTGGAGAGCTGACAAGTACACACTGGAATTTGTCTGTGGGAAATTGTTTGAGCAGGAAACCTATAACTAACTTATCATTGACTTTAACCCTAGTCCATACAGCTGCCTCAGCCCTGCCCCCAGAGCATGCTCTAACACTTCAGCCCCACCTGTATGCTGTAGTCCACTCAGAGGGCGCGGAGGGGCGCTCCGCGGGCCGTGGGTAACCTTTTGCCCCTGCTGCAGGTGCCCCCCAGAGGGAGGTGTACTTCATGGGCCTGATCGACGTGCTGACGCAGTACGACACCAAGAAGAAGGCGGCGCACGCGGCCAAGACGGTCAAGCACGGGGTGAGCGAGGGGAGGGGTGGAGAGTCGCAGCTCGCTGGAGCTCCCTCTGCAAACATTCCCTGAGAAAACAGGCTTCTTCCGGGGCTAGTCAGCAAAAACACTCCCCTGGAGTACCGCTTATTGTATTGTTAATTTGTTGGCATCTGGACAGGGCTTTTCATTCCAAAGTACTTCACACATAAGATGGGATCTACTGCGTCCTCCACTGGGGTGAGGCCAGGCGGAGGAGAGCCAGACTGTACGAGAGCAGAGCGGGGTTCAGTCAGGACACTGACTGGTTTAATGTCTTACTGCAGTAAAGATCCTAATGGAACTGTCTCTGGTGTGAACAGTAATGCTCTGTGATACACTTTCAGATAAGTCTACCGATACTGTCTGCACAGTAAAGCTCTGTCCTTACAACATAGTTACTCTTCTGTGACAGACTAGACTGTTCCTTAGCAGCCATATCACCCTGCAGCTCAAAACTGTCGGCCCCCTGAAGCTCAACAGGTGTGAGTCTGGCCAGTACCTGGAAGGGAGACCTCCTGGTCTAAGACTAAGACTAAGGCTGCTGCTGGAAGAGGTGTTAGTGGAGCCAGCAGGGGGCGCTCACCCTGCAGTCTGTGTGGGTCCTAATGCCCCAATATAACGATGGGGACACTATACTGTAAAAGAGGCACCGTCCTTCAGAGGAGAGATGAAGTCCTGACTCTGTGTGGTCATTTAAAATCTTTGGGATTTCTAAAAAGAATAGGGGTGTTATCCTGATGTCCTGGCCTTTATCAATCATGGGCTCCTAATAATCCCCCTCTCTGAACTGGCTTCATCGCTCTGCTCTCCTCCCCACTGAGAGCTGGTGTGTGGGGAGGTACTGGGCACTCCGGTTGTAAAGCGTTTGGAATGGAATGTCCAGATAATCACTATATAAATGTCAGGGATCATATTTATAGTTAAGATGTACTGACCTTGTTCCCCAGGCTGGTGCCTGATTGAGGCACAGACTGATGTTCTGCTTTGTCTCCCAGGCTGGTGCGGAAATCTCCACAGTGCACCCTGAGCAGTACGCCAAGCGCTTCCGAGACTTCATCGCAAACATCTTCGCATAGCGCCCCCTACACCCGCCTGCCGGTTCTGCAGCCGCAGTACGACGATGCTGTTTTTTTCTGGTCCTAGGTCCTACCTCTCCTGCTTTTCTTGGATGTAAATTACACGCTTATTTAACAACCAAACAAGCAAAAATAAAATTTTATTACCAATAGTGCCTTGTTATGAATTGTTTTAAATTATGAGTTTGTTTCCATGTTTATGCATATATTTTCAGGTTTGCCTTTAATCCGGATATGTTATTTGAAATCATTCATTAGTCTGTCTGGTCGATTGACTAACTTGATTCATCTCTCACGTTTTCCCACAGCTCTCTTGTAGAGAAAGTACTTTATTTCCATGAAGTCCAGTGATCTCCAGCTCTGATACATTAGGTCTGCAGTCCAATACGTTAGTAGTTCTCTAAGTCTCCAGCTTCACAAGAGCAAGAGAAGGCTTCCACTTGTCCAATCAAGCACTTAAAGTTCTCAATCAGGTAATTAAAGGCTCAGGTACTATGTTCGCTCTAATTTGTTTTCCTGCTGAGCGGATGACTTAATACCCTGAGTGGTGTAAAAAAGCTGTAGTGCAGGATGCACAGGGCTTCATGTGGGCCCATGTGAGAACTCGGTGATCGACCACAAAGACCCAAGGCAAGGCCCAAGGGGCATAATGACATGTACTGCTGTTGCTGTTGATTTGGTGAAACTTTGCAACAGTTTGCCAGCTAAACCAGAGGATGTGACTACAATATGTAGTTTTAAGAGACATTTTCAAGTACTACTGTACCTATTGAGTTGACCGATGATTTACCGTTGGTTACTGAGTCACGTGGAAGGACAGCCAGCACCCTTCTGGCCCCCTTAGGGCTGGAGTTGCGCTCTCCGCTGTCATCTGAGAGCAGCGGACAGTCTATCCTAGTCTGATATCGGACCATCGGAAGAGCTGGTGAAGCCCACATTAGTGCACAAATCGGGATTCTGGAAGTTCTGCAGCTTGGAGTTGGGGATCAGTGGCTTCAGCTCGCAATCCTCTCTTGCTTTCCCCTCGTGTGCTGTTCTTGATGCTCTGTGGCGCAGAGGGGGTGTGGGGGCTGCTCTCTGCTTGTGCGTAACTTCCATCCTCCCAGGTCAACAGCTCGCTTGTTCATGGCATCACGAGTCGCCAAGGAGATTTGTAAATACAGCCTGGTGTTAATTGACACCACTGGTCAAGGGATGGAAACCATAACCCTGTGTCCTATGCCAGCTGACAGGTCTGTATCAGGGATATGCAAGTATGGGGTCTTCATTTTAAAGCTGGGTGAACTTGGGGTGTGGGGGTGTTCGCTGTCCTGCAGTGCTACCAGACCTCCGCTGTACTTCAGGCATGATGGGAGGTGGCGGTGGTGGGAGGGGGCTGTTTTTCTGGCCTCAACACTTAATCAGGTCAAGGACACGACGGATCGCCCTTTTCCAGAAGCCATAGTTCTGCTGACAAGGTGTTTCCTGTTTCTCCGGCAGAAAGTACCTTTAAAAAGATGGAGGCAGATGTTATCTGTTTGTTTTATATCTTAACATGACCAGGAGAAGGAAAAAAAATGCTGACGGATCAGGAGCGCGGCTCTTCCAGATGGGGTCTTGTTAATTTGCAATTAATACCAGGAACTGCCAAAACAAACTTGCAGGCCCCCAGGCTCTGTTCCGGAGTCCGGGGCCTGGGCTGGCTGGACCGAAGACGCGGAGCGGCACGAAGGAGCCGGGGCCTGCAGCTGCATGACTGCTGTGGCTTCGGGAGACAAACAGGCGATCCAGTTCGGGGGCTGGGGAGGGGCAGGGGCTCCGTGAGTGTCCTCTTCCTTGATGAGAGTTAATGTCCCACAGGCTTCCTCTGTCCACCACACCTCCCAGCGCCACTCTGCTCCAGAGGTTTCCTGGCATTGTGTGTGCTGTTTATGTGATTAGCTCTCGAGGAATTCTCAACGCTGCAGATTTACTGCTGCCCATCCCTCACCCCTCACCCCCCCTGCCAGCACGCCCCCCCCCTGCTGCTGCAGAGCTCTGCTCCGGACTGAATTCCAGCAGAAAGCACCCACACTGGGGAAAAGTGGGAACGGAGAGCCCACAAGTCAATAGCAGGTAGATTAAAACTGGGGGTTCACTGTCTCAGTCCTGGGGACCCCCACAGCTCCTTACCTGAACCAGCAGGCTCCTGGGCTGGAACCTCTGCATGGTTTATGTCTGCTCAACGGCTGGCGGTTTTGAGGTGTTTATGAAACACAATAGTAAAAAGGCCTGTTAAGGCTCCAATTGTTTAATCGGGAGCTCTG